TGACACTTGGACTGTTGACACTTGGACCGGTGACACTTGGACCGGTGACATTTGGATCGGTGACACTTGGACCGGTGACACTTGGACCGGTGACACTTGGACCAGTGATACTAGGACCGGTGACACTTGGACCTGTGACACTTGGACCGGTGACACTTGGACCTGTGACTCTTGGACCGTTGACACTTGGACCTGTGACACTTGGACCGGTGACACTTGGACCGTTGACACTTGGAAGTTCTGCATGATGTGCCATAGTTGTGCCTGCTCAGTGTGGACATCTACGTGAGATATCCGTGTCATGGATTCACCACTGATCTTTATAGCTGCAACAAGTTTTTAGTGTGAACGTAAGTATGAGACATAAAAAGGCTTTTCATGGACGGTCAGAATTCCAGGTGAATGCAAATGCAGAATTAGTGCAACAATTCAATGTCTTTCACACGAAGTTTGACACCCCTTCCACGAAAAAACTCATCATTTGACCGAAAATGCCGCCCATCCATGTAAGAAAAAGTCCCACTTTGGATGGACGGCCCCTGCCACCCTTCCCTTCCTACGCCACAGCATATTTATACGCCATAATCAATGGCGTATACCTTAAGCCAGCATTGTACTCATGCTTAAGTTATGCTGATGTCTTGTGTTCTACGCATGCTGATGTCTTGAGTTCTACGCATGATCATGTCTTGTGTTCTACGCATGCTCATGTCTTGTGTTCTACGCATGCTCATGTCTTGTGTTCTACGCATGCTCATGTCTTGTGTTCTACGCATGCTCATGTCTTGTGTTCTACGCATGCTCATGTCTTGTGTTCTACGCATGCTCATGTCTTGTGTTCTACGCATGCTCATGTCTTGTGTTTTACGCATGCTCATGTCTTGTGTTCTACGCATGCTGAGGTCTTGTGTTCTACGCATGTTCATGTCTTGTGTTCTACGCATGCTGAGGTTATGTGTTCTACGCATGCTGAGGTCATGTGTTCTACGCATGCTGAGGTCATGTGTTCTACGCATGCTGAGGTCATGTGTTCTACGCATGCTGAGGTCATGTGTTTTTGTTGTTCGTCAGTCGGGAGTCGACCATGACCCACTTAAATCAGCAGAGCTTTTACAGGTTCTGTCTGTGGGTGCGCAGATGGCTAATGAGGCCGATTCTGGCATGACATTCTCTTGTGCAGTATGTGCAAGGGAATGATGGCTCATCTCTGGGAGCAGAGTAAGACCAGGCCTTCCTGGCATATCTCTTGTGCTCTGCAGCCGCTGCTCTGCCAACTTCATATTGCATGGCGCTCCTGTGCAAAGTGGTACGCCATGAAGTTCGATCCTTTGCTTGTTCCCACGTGTCTGGGTTTATGTTGAACAATTTCAGTGAGGCTTTCATGTTGTCTTTAAAACGTATTTTCTGTCCGCCAGCAGACCGCTTTCCTTGTTCAAGCTCACCATAGAAAATTCTTTTGGGCAGACGGTCGTCTGACATTTTCACAACATGTCCCGCCCAGCGAAGCTGGAACTTCATTAAGATGGTAAAGATGCTGGGGAGACCTGCCCGTGTGAGCACCTCAGTGTCTGGGACCCTGTCCTGCCATTTAATGTTGAGGATTTTTCTGAGTAAAATGAGTGATGATTAAGTGACACGTGCTGTCATGTTTAGACGTCATGCCGCCAAATATGAACGTCATGCCGCCAAATATGAACGTCATGCTTACTTTCTTAGGTACAGGTCATGCTCGAGTCATGTGTACATTCGTACACCATAAGTACAACTCATTCGAATGTACGCATGTATTGATTGCCACTAATAATTATTGCATTAAATAGAATATTCTTGGAATGCTTGTCAAAAAATTAAAGTGAATCCAGTAAAACATAGTAATTTACTTTTTAAATTTCATCTCCTGGTTCCCAACACATCGGTCTCCTGGTTCCCAACACATCGGTCTCCTGGTTCCCAACACATCGGTCTCCTGCTTCCCAACACATCGGTCTCCTGGTTCCCAACACATCGGTCTCCTGGTTCCCAACACATCGGTCTCCTGGTTCCCAACACATCGGTCTCCTGGTTCCCAACACATCGGTCTCCTGGTTCCCAACACATCGGTCTCCTGGTTCCCAACACATCGGTCTCCTGGTTCCCAACACATCGGTCTCCTGGTTCCCAACACATCGGTCTCCTGGTTCCCAACACATCGGTCTCCTGGTTCCCAACACATCGGTCTCCTGGTTCCCAACACATCGGTCTCCTGGTTCCCAACACATCGGTCTCCTGGTTCCCAACACATCGGTCTCCTGGTTCCCAACACATCGGTCTCCTGGTTCCCAACACATCGGTCACCTGGTTCCCAACTCATCGGTCTCCTGGTTCCCAACACATCGGTGTCCTGGTTCCCAACAATCGGTGTCCTGGTTCCCAACACATCGGTGTCCAGGTTCCCAACACATCGGTCTCCTGGATCCCAACACATCGGTGTCCAGGTTCCCAACACATCGGTCTCCTGGTTCCCAACACATCGGTCTCCTGGTTCCCAACACATTGGCCTCGGCCTCGAATGGGTATGTGGAAGGTTTTCTAGGGGGTTAGGGTTAGGGTTAGGGTTATTGGCAAACAACTAAACATTTGTTTCCGAAGACTCTGATTTATTTTATTAATTTTATTTTATCGCACAGTGGTCGTTGTCACTTTGCTTCTATGAGATATGGTCATTGTCACTTTGCTTCTATGAGATAAGGTCATTGTCACTTTGCTTCTATGAGATAATATGGTAATCTTCACTTTGCTTTTATGAGATATGATCATTGTCACTTTGCTTCTATGAGATATGGTAATTGTCACTTTGCCTCTATGAGTTATGGTTATTGTCACTTTGCTTCTATGGGATGCGGTAATTGTCACCTTACTTCTATGAAATATGGTCGTCATCTCTTTGCTTCTATTGGACATGGTCGTTGTCACTTTGCTTCTATGAGATAAGGTCATTGTCACTTTGCTTCTATGAGATATGGTAATCGTCACTTTGCTTTTATGAGATATGATCATTGTCACTTTGCTTCTATGAGATATGGTAATTGTCATTTGCTTTTATGAGATATGGTCATTGTCATTTTCTTTTATGAGATATGGTCATTGTCATTTGCTTTTATGAGATATGGTCGTTGTCACTTTGCTTCCATGGATATAGTCGTTGTCACTTTGCTTCTATGAGATAATATGGTAATCGTCACTTTGCTTTTATGAGATATGATCATTGTCACTTTGCTTCTATGAGATATGGTAATTGTCACTTTGCCTCTATGAGTTATGGTTATTGTCACTTTGCTTCTATGGGATGCGGTAATTGTCACCTTACTTCTATGAAATATGGTCGTCATCTCTTTGCTTCTATTGGACATGGTCGTTGTCACTTTGCTTCTATGAGATATGGTCATTGTCACTTTGTTTCTATGAGATAAGGTCATTGTCACTTTGCTTCTATGAGATAATATGGTAATCGTCACTTTGCTTTTATGAGATATGATCATTGTCACTTTGCTTCTATGAGATATGGTAATTGTCACTTTGCCTCTATGAGTTATGGTTATTGTCACTTTGCTTCTATGGGATGCGGTAATTGTCACCTTACTTCTATGAAATATGGTCGTCATCTCTTTGCTTCTATTGGACATGGTCGTTGTCACTTTGCTTCTATGAGATAAGGTCATTGTCACTTTGCTTCTATGAGATATGGTAATCGTCACTTTGCTTTTATGAGATATGATCATTGTCACTTTGCTTCTATGAGATATGGTCATTGTCATTTTCTTTTATGAGATATGGTCATTGTCATTTGCTTTTATGAGATATGGTCGTTGTCACTTTGCTTCCATGGATATAGTCGTTGTCACTTTGCTTCTATGATATTGTCGTTGTCACTTTGCTTCTATGATATTGTCGTTGTCACTTTGCTTCTATGATAGGGTCGTTGTTACTTTGCTTCTTTGAGATATGGTCATTGTCACTTTGCTTCTATGAGATATGGTAATCGTCACTTTGCTTTATGAGATATGGTAATCGTCGCTTTGCCTTTATGAGATATGGTCATTGTCACTTTGCTTCTGTGAGATATGGTCGTTGTCACTTTGCCTCTATGAGTTATGGTTATTGTCACTTTGCTTCTATGGGATGCAGACATTGTCACCTTACTTCTATGAAATATGGTCGTCATCTCTTTGCCTCTATTGGACATGGTCGTTGTCACTTTGCTTCTATGAGATATGATCGTTGTCACTTTGCTTCAATAAAACGGGTCACTAGTAATTTTGCCTCCATAAAATTGGGTTGTGACTCAACGAAATGTTGGGAACCTGTGCTCTAAATCTTATCACAAACACACCAACAAGGTTATAATAATGACTCTGAACATTATGTTTATCACATGCTTTAATAATCTTTCAAAAATTATCTCATAATTAAATAAAAATTTGTACAAGTTAAAACAAGCAGAAGATCAATGACAAAAATATTGAACTGAAAATAAATGCTTACATATTTTTTAAGATATTTTGATTTTAATTTTTAACAGATAAAACACGGGTTGAGATGAAAAAGAAGTGCAGAAATGCGAGGTTAGGGTTAGGGTTAGGGTGAAAAAGAAGTGCAGAAATGCGAGGTTAGGGTTAGGGTTAGGGTGAAAAAGAAATGCAGAAATGCGAGGTTAGGGTTAGGGTTAGGTGAAATAGAAGTGCAGAAATGCGAGGCAGATGGCAAAATTATCTAAAACAGGTCAAATAAAAAGGGCCAGAGAAACAGCCAACTGGTAGATGTTATCTATGGCAGATGGTATCTATTACAGATGGTATCTATTACAGATGGTATCTATGGCATATTGTATATATGGCAGATATATGATAGATGGTATCTATGGTAGATATATTGCTAATAATTATCAATGAAACCATCAACCATTTACACTTAAAATAAATGTGACAAAATAAAAAAAGGATTTCTAATATTGACAATTTTATAATTAAATGGGAGCTTTGGATGAGAAGAAATGTAAAATGAGTCTAGACATAAACCACATCATTCACTGCAACACATCCTGAAAGCACTGCTAATTCTGCCTCTGATAAATACCGAGAAGCTTCAAGTGGCTCTTGTGTATTTCTGGAGGTACCACAAAACTCTGCTGACTGTTGAATTGGAGCTCTGTCATTTGGATGTTTTGGACAAAGTTCAGGTAACAAAAAGGTATTTACATTTATGTTGCTGATATCTTGATTTGACAAATATGGCAATGACAGGGCAGGCACTGAACTGACACGAAAATGTTTATACAAATATTGTGGAGCCGTATTATGAGACATGGTGATTGGGTTTAGATCAGTATAGCCTTTCCTTTGATAAGGGATTAGCTTATGTGGTATTGCATTATCTACAGGAGTTACAAACAAGGCCAAAGGAATATAGGCTTCCTTTCCATAGGCACCAATGTTTTGTGTCGTGTTCACCTTCTCTTGTATCGTGTTCCCTTTGTTTTGTGAAAAGGGAGCTTTGATGAATGTCTCCTCGTCGTCATAGCCAGCAACAACAAGATCAGGCTTAGGGGATGAGAAGATGTTTTGAACTGGAACTTTTGCTGTAAGACTTTGTTTTGTATGTTTTGGAATGGCGGGCAGTGGTCTGTGTTTCATATAGTGGCTGGGAAACATTGAGATCTCAGACGGCCGGCCTTTTGGATCCAGGTAATAATTTGGAGTATTTAATTTGTGTTCAGATTCTCCTGACTTGACTTCAGAAGTAATCGAATGTGAGACTTCAGGAGTAATCGCATGTGAGACTTCAGGAGTAATCGAATGTGAGACTTTAGGAGTTATCGAATGTGACATTTCAGGAGTAATCGAATGTGACATTTCAGGATAAATCGAAAGTGACATTTCAGGATTAATCGAATGCGACATGTCTTTTCCTAGACTATACAATGTTTCATCCAGGATCTTGGGCAAGGCTTGGGAAGAAACTCGCCTTTCTAACAGAAAATAGTCTACAGGCTCAATGTAAATATCACTAAACATGTTTTTGTTGTCTTCCTCAACATCCACTTCATTGTAAATTGTGCTTAATGAGTCGACGGACTGATGATAAGCACATGTGTCATCAGAACTTTCGGCATAAGTATCTGACGGGTTCATGACCTGAAACGGTCGATGTAGTCCTGGAACAAGTGAAAAACTAGATGTATCCGAGGAAGATGAATCCGATGGATTGAATGGATTGAGCTGTGAAGTTGTCATATTCGCTTCTCTTTCAAGAACACTAAAAAATGAAATTTCAAAATTAATAATAAACATGTAGGAGAGCAATTCAGAATTTAAAATAATTTTAAAAAATTGATTACCGATATATCATGAACCGACTAAAACCATATGCCGACAGAATCATTGCTGAAGAACAGGCGGGCTTCAGACAAGGACGGGGCACTACTGAGCAGATTCTGAACCTCCGAATACTATGTGAGAAATATGCTCAACACCAACAAAACCTATACCACGTCTTTGTTGACTTCAAAAAGCATTTGACAGGGTTTGGCATGCTGCTTTATGGGCCACCATGAGGCACTACGACACCAACACAAACCTAACCAGCATGATATGCAACCTCTATGATAAGACAACCAGTGCAGTCTTTCTCAACAACAACATCGGAGAATGGTTCAAGACCACGGTTGGAGTTCGACAAGGCTGCCTGCTCTCCCCCACCATATTCAACATCTTCCTAGAGAGAATTATGTCAGATGCTCTTGAAGCGCATGAAGGGACAGTCAGCATTGGTGGCAGAACAATCACCAACCTACGCTTTGCAGACGACATAGACGGACTGGCTGGGAACGAAGAAGAGCTAGCCAACCTTGTAAAACGTCTCGATAGGACCTCGTCGTCCTACGGAATGCTAATCAGTGCCGAAAAGACAAAACTGATGACAAATAATATTGCAGGCATCACCAATGAAATTAAGGTCGGGGGAGGAAAGATTAGAGACTGTCGGCCACTTCAAATACCTAGGTGCAAATATCTCAGAAGAAGGCTCCAAGTCCGAACTGATGTCCAGGATTGCGCAGACTACAATAGCACTAAAGAAGTTCAAGAAAATATGGAATGACACAAATATAGCCCCCAGCACCAAAATCAGGCTGATGCGCTCATTAGTCCTCTCCATTTTCCTGTATGCCTGCGAATCCTGGACATTAACAGCCGATCTTGAAAGGAAAATAAAGGCGATGGAGATGAGATGCTTCAGAAGCATTTTTGGCATCTGCTATAGGGACCATATCTCCAATGATACAGTGAAAGAAAGGGTTCATCAGGCAAATGGGGAGTACGATGACCTACTGGTGACCGTTAAAAAACACAAACTACAATGGTACGGCGACGTAACAAGGAAACAAGGGCTTGCCAAAGAAATATTGTAAGGCACCACAAGAGGATGGAGAATAAGAGGAAGACAAAGAAAAAGATAGGAGGATAACATCAAAGAGTGTACAGGACTAACACTGGGCGATGCAGTGCGTAGTGCTGAAGACAGAGAGGAATGGAGGAGAATAGTTCACATGTCATCTGTGGCGCCCAAACGGTCCAAGGACTAAGGGACATGAGATGAGATAAGAGATATCATGTATAGGCAAGAGGCTATAATCATCCTGCAAGTCCTTTGAGATAATATCATTTTTTTCAATCTTCTTATTTGTACTTATGGATTTAAAAAAAAAAAAAAATTAAAATTAAAAAAAAATGAAAAAAAGTTAGATTATTTTCTGTTTCTCATTTGGAAGTCATTTCTACCTAAATTATGCACTTAATTCTATTTGAAAGTCATTTCTACCTAAATTATGCACTTAATTCTATTTGAAAGTCCTTTCTACCTAAATTATGCACAATTCTATTTGAAAGTCCTTTCTACCTAAATTATGCACTTAATTATGAACGCTTTTCAATCCACCAAAAGACTATACCTTATAATATGTCCAGTGGTTGGCCTTTTTCTTGGTTTCACATGCATTCAATTTTGAATCAAATGAAATAAAGTGGTTGGGCATTGGAGTGGTTTGGTAAAAACAGCAGCAGAGATTTCACTTTCCTGAATAAATCAAAAGAAGAAAACCTTCAATGACATGATTTAATTAAATTTTAAAAATCTTAGACCATTATATGCATAGTGGTATCTTCAGACATATTACACACATGTTGGTAACTTAAGCCATGTTACACACAGAGTGGTATCTTAAGCTATATTACACACATAGTGATAACTTAAACCTTATTACACTCATAGTGTTAACTTATCCATATAACATACATAGGGGTATCTTAAGCCATATTACATACAAAGTGGTAACTTCAGCTATATTACATATATAGCGATATCTTAAACCATTAGATACATAATGATCCTGATTAACTGTGGAAATAAGAAAAAAAATTGAATTCTGTTGTAGCATCCTCAACTCCCATCCAATTCTTTATTTGATAGTCAAGCATCAGGATATTTTTAAACTTGTTTCAGAACTTGAGGTCAAAAGTATAATTTCAAAATCTAAATCTACGTCATGTTATTTGGATCCCACCCCCACCCTCCTGTTGGTTGAGTTATTAGATCATTTGCTCCCCAACGATAACCCATATAGTCAATGAAAGCTTGTCTTCTGGAACTGTTCCCCCTCTTTGTAAATCAGCTGTCATCAAACCAGTGCATAAGAAGCCTGGTCTGGATGAAAATAATTTTAAAAAATTATAGACCTGTATCTAACTTATCACTTTTATCTAAAATTATTGAAAAACTATTTCTAAAACAACTATTTGCTTATTTAATTGACCACTCTCTTCTCAGTTCTAATCAGTCGGCCTATATACATTTCCACAGCACAGAGACGGCTCTCTTGAGAGTGACCAATGAACTCTTGCTCGCATTGGACAGTGGTGATATCTCCATCCTGATCCTCTTAGACCTCAGTGCAACCTTTGACACTGTTGACCATGTAATCCTTTTTAATCCTTGAAAATTAGTTTGGAATTTCTGGTTCAGTTTTGGCTTGGTTTAGGTCCTACCTCTCTGATAGAACGCAGGCGGTCGCTGAAGATGGCTGTCTCTCAGGCAGTGCTGATTTGGTGTACGGAGTGCCACAGGGGTCCGTTTTAGGCCCGGTTCTATTCACATTGTATACCAGACCACTGCTCCTCTTGCTTGGGAGGCATGCTGTGGAGAGCCAGTCATTTGCAGATGACACGCAGCTATACAAGCATACCCATCCCTCTCTTGTCGATTCCGCTGTCCAGACTTTGCGGGGGTGCATTGATGATGTCAAGTCATGGATGACACTCAGCAAGTTGAAGCTCAATGATGACAAAACGGAAGCACTCCTCATTCACAATCACACATTATCCTCTACCTCAACTCTTCCCACCTCATTTCAAGTAGGTAACTCCGACATACTGTTTACACCCTCTACTAGGAATCTTGGTTATATTCTGTCTAACAACATGTCTCTCGATAAACATATCTCTCACATTTGTCGTTCGGCATACACCGCTATCCATCAGATCAGTTCCATCCGCCACTACCTCACAGTTATCGCTACAAAAACTCTGGTCTGTGCTCTTGTTCTCTCTTTAGATTATATAGAACATTTCCTCAAGTATAGATTATAGAGATCATTTCCTCAAGTATAGATTATAGAGAAGATTTCCTCAAGTATAGATTATAGAGAGCATTTCCTTAAGTATAGATTATAGGAGAATATTTCCTCTCACACTGGAATCTGTGCCCCGATAAAGAAATAACTTTTATTGGTATCTAATTTTACCCCTTAATTATATTTATTTTACACATCACTTATGCTGAGTTTACCCCTCCTTTTTGCTGAGTTTACCCTCAATTATACTTATTTTACCCATCAATAATACTTATTTTACCCCTCAATTATGCAAATTTCACCCCTCAATTGTGCTGATTTACCCCTCAATTGTACTTATTTTACCCCTCAATTATATTTATTTTACCCCTCATTTAGGCTGAGTTTACGCCTCAAATATGCTGGTGTTAACTCATGATAATAATAATAATAATAATAATAATAATAATAATAATAATAAAGTTTATTTGAAAAACACGTTTCATCCCCAAAAGCTCGAAACGCGGTACAAAGTGAACCATATTAAAAAGAGAAATAAACACAATCTAAAATTTACCACATTTAAAAACATTTTAAAGCTACATACGAGCATAGCCAGTCAAAGTCTTTCATCCCGTTTCAACCATAAGCAACACAAGCCCATATACATTAACTGAAGAAGATGGTAGATAGCATCACCCCAGAAGGTGTTTGCTAAATAGATGTGTTTTTAAATCGGTTTTAAAGGACTCCAGTGTCTGGCTGTTTTTGAGAGCGACTGGAAGTGCGTTCCAAATTGTTGGGCCGGCAAATGCAACAGTGCACTTTCCGTAAATCTCAAGGCAAACACATGGTATCAATTTTTTGCCACTATCGGATGAGCGGAGCTCTCTAGTGGGTACATAAGGCGTCATGAGTGCTTTGAGATAAGATGGCGCCAGGTCATGTAAGCAGCGGTAGCACAAAGTTGCAATTTTTTACTCTATGCGAGCGTGGACCGGCAGCCAGTGCAGCTCCCTCAGAAGTGTTTTAGCATGGTCGAATTTGCGTTTGCGAAGAACAATGCGAGCCGCATTATTCTGTGCTATTTGAATTTTATCCAGGAGCGTAACTGGGAGACCCACCATGAGAGCATTGCGTGATAACACAAATGCAGAATCAGCCTCTTTGATACATCTAAGGTTAAGACGGTAATATGATTGAACGGAAATTTGGTCGAATCTTCTTTTCGATTTTTACGTTCCAATTTTGCATTTAGAAATAAAAAAAATCACTTCGTTTTTAAGTTATCTTGTTGAATTTTACAGAATCACATGATTGTTTTAACAGGTTTTAATCAATTCTCTTTCCATTCTATTTTTGTAAACAGTCCTTGACCTTCTTAATGTAATGCTAATATGGCAAAATATATATGCGGCCCTCCAATAGCTTTTTATTTGTCAATGTGGCCCGACGCACAGACAGTTTGCCCACCCCTGCTATAGATGCTGTGTGAGATTGCGTTATTCTGAATTTACACAGAATATTTTTAACCTGGTTAGTCATAGCACTGCGTTAGGTTGAGGATTAGTCAGACCATTTTGTTAAGGTTAGGGTTAGTCAGAGCATTGTGTTAAGTTTAATGTTAGTCAGAGCATTTTGTTAATATTGCAAATTTAAAGGTTGGATAACTAGTCAGGCATTTAGTTTTTCCTTCAATTTTACCACGTTATTAAGATTTCCTAATTGAAATGTTCTAATTGCGCTAAAAATAGTCAACTTAATTATAATGATTCCACAATCCCCACAATAATAATTCAATAAATGAGTCATACATTACAGCTATGTCATAGAATTTGAAAGGTCAACATTTTTGACCTCTAGAAACAAGGACAGGAAATCAAGTGGGTATTCTCACCATAATGTCAGCAAGGGGGATATAATTCAGACAATCTTCATTTTGAAATTCAATACCAGAGCTAAGCGCCGCAAATACATCCATCATTAAAGCTCCAATGTTGAAGATATCCGTACTAGCATTGCAAACGCCATTTTCTTTAAACTCTGGAGCAGCTCTGAAAAATTTGAGGTCATTAAAAACTCACAAAATATTAGAGCTTTCAACTTCACTTATCTATCTAACGCCGCCCCCCCCCACGTCCACATTCGAAATCTGTGGCATTAACATGTCTGGAGACCAACCAGGGCAAAAATTGCTGCCCATAGATGAACCATGGGCAATATAATTATACCACACATCTAGGTTTGGTCTAATCATTTAAAATATATAACATGTAAAAAATAAAACGATTGACATCATTAATCAATCCTTTTACAACATTAATCAATCGACAACATTAAAAAATAATTGACAACATTAATCAATCAACTGACAACATTAATCATTCAATTGACAAAATTAATAAAACAATTTATATTGTTGGATATGCCTTAGATGCAGATGGAAATCCCAGAAATACGACAATGGACTCATTCTAGAGCAGTCAAGATGCTAACAGTTTTACATCCTATTCTCTCAAAATCTTTTCTTTGAATTATTTAAAACTATGAAAGCCTGGATAATCTCGTTCAATAATAACAGCCCAAAATGGAGCAATCGGGCCTACCTTGTGGAGGTGACACTTTGGTAAGATGGTAAATGGAACAATCGGGCCTACCTTATGAAGGTGACACGACTTTGGTAAGATGGTAAATAGAACAATTGGGCCTACCTTATGAAGGTGACACATTGGTACGGTGGTTTCAGTTGGTTACTTGTAAAATTTTGACCAGTCTTGTCACAGAGATATTGTAGCGAGACAGGATAGAGCTAAGCAGGAAATATAATGTTAATGGTTACAATTTTGTATGCTTTAATTTGTCTGAGATTTTCGGTATTAATAAATAACAAATATTTGTAAAAAAATTGTCTCAAAGATAAACCTCCAAAGAATATTTATTTACACAAACAATGCATATATTGTTTTAGATGATTAATTTGAAGTTACATTTGAATTTTTGTTATGGTATATTATGGTCGTGATTTTAAATCTTGGCAATCCATTTTTTAAACAAACTATGACTAATGGCACTAGCACAAACAGGTCATCAAGTGCAAAATTGGTATGGGAACTCTGAGTATTTTTGGAATATATAATCTGCAAAATCAATTTCGGAACACGGAGTGTGTTTGGAATATATTATCTGTATAGAAACATGGAGTATGTTTTGAATGTAATAATCAGTATAGGAATATGGAGTATGTTTGGATTATATAATCTGTATTGGAATATGGAGTATGTTTGGAATATATAATATGTATTGGAATGTGGAGTATGTTTGGAATATATAATCTGTATTGGAAGGTGGAGATTGTTTGGAATATATAATTTGTATTGGAATGTGTAGTATTTTTGGAATATATAATCTGTATTGGAATGTGGAGTACGTTTGGAACATATAATCTGTATAGAAACATATGGTTTGGAATATATAATCTATATTGGAATGTCGAGTATGTTTGGAAAATATAATCTGTATTGGAATGTGGAGTATGTTTGGAATATATAATCTGTATTGGAATGTGGAGTATGTTTCGAATACACAATCTGCATTGGAATGTGGAGCATTTTTGGAATATATAATATGTATTGGAATATGGAGTATGTTTAGAATATATAATCGGTATTGGAATGTGGAGTATGTTTGGAATATATAATCTGTATTGGAATGTGGAGTATGTTTGGAATATATAATCTGTATTGGAATGTGGAGATTGTTTGGAATATATACTCTGTATAGGAAGGTGGAGTACGTTTGGAATTTATAATCTGTATAGAAACATGGAGTATGTTTTGAATATATTGTCTGTATAGAAACATGGAGTATTTTTGGAACATATAATCTGTATTGGAATGTGGAGTATGTTTGAATATATAATGTATTGGAATGTGGAGTATGTTTGGAATATATAATCTGTATAGAAACATGTAGTATGTTTGGAATATATAATCTGTATAGAAACATGGAGTATGTTTTGAATATATTGTCTGTATAGAAACATGGAGTATTTTTGGAACATATAATCTGTATTGGAATGTGGAGTATGTTTGAATATATAATCTGTATCGGAACATTGATTATGTTTGGAATATTTAATCTGTATTTGAACACGAAGTATGTTTGTAATGTATAATCAAGTAAAATTTTGCAATTCGGTTTAATTACATGTAGATGAAAGTACAAAGTATGCATTAACAATTTACTAAAACCTGAAATTTTAATGGATGCCATTATTCTTTTTCCAAAATGATACCCATAGTTTCATCAGTTAATATATTTTAAATGATAATAACCTTGAAATCTCCATCTTTGTTCTCTACGTAGATTAATGAGGCTCTGATGTCACCTAACACAAATGACAGTTCATGGAAGTGTTGCACCATTTCAACAACCTTAAGTAGCAGTAAGATGCAAGTGTCTACAGTACACCCATTCTTCTTGTCAGATACAAACTCTAACATACTTCTACATGAACAAGGAATGTGGATGTCCTGTAATAAATGAACACAATGTTGAGAACAAAACTTTAAATACATTTTATTTTTTTTTATTTTTAAGGATAAATGAATCAGACTAATTAGTGAAGACCTATTGATTAATTAACTAGTGAAGACCTACTGATTCATTAACTAGTGAAGACCTACTGATTCATTAACTAGTGAAGACCCACTGATTCATTAACTAGTGAAGACCTACTGATTTCAATTAAGAGTCTACTTAAATTTCAAAATTTTCAACATAATAATTATGCAGGGCGTTTTCATTTGATTTTGATTAAAAATTCACTACACATATTTAACATATAGAGTGACAAATTTTGGGCAATATAGAGTGACACAAATTGGACAATACAGAGTGACACATATTTGACAAAAGAGAGTGACACAAATTTGACAATGTAGAGTGACAAGAATTTGACAATAGAGAGTGACACGAATTTGACAATAGAGAGTGACACAAATTTGACAATAGAGAGTGACACGAATATTACAAGCTTGAGTGATATAACCAAATGAAAACATTACAACTTCATAACTTTAAAAAAATTATTTAAACCTAGATAATGTCAAAGTACACAAGATAGCTAGATAAAATAAATTGTACATTCCTGTACCAAGTTTCTAGCCAAGTTTAGGAACTGCCATAGTGCACTTGTGTTTGGTGCTATGTTTATTTCAATGCAGAATGGATGTTTAGCATTACTTTTTATAAATAATTTGAGACTTGGATGAAGGCCATAAAATGTTTAAAGAAGAGTGGAGTTGGGGCACAGTGGATCAAGATGCACATTGTATCAAGGGGAAAGTGGATCAAGGAACAGTTGATTAAAGTGCACAATGAATTAAGGTGCAGAGTGGATCAAGGGACACAATGTATCAATGTGCACAGTTGATCAATGTGCACATTAGATCAAGGGACACAGTGGATCAAGGGACACAGTGGATCAAAGGGCTCAAATGATCAAGGTGCACAGTGGATCAAGGTGCAGATTGGATCAATTTGCATTCTGGATAAAGGGACACAGTTAATCAATGTGCATTCTGGATTAAGAGACATATTAGATTAAGGTGCACAGTAGATCAAGGGACACAGTGGATCAAGTGATATAGTGGATCAAGGTGCAAAGTGGTTAAAGAAAAGAGTGTATCAAGGGACACTGTAGATCATTGAAGTTAATCCAGTTTGCAAATAGGAAAGTACAAAGTTTTAGGGTCCACATGTAATTTCAACGGATATAAACTGTGGACACCCAAATTCCAGATTGCCTTTATCCAGTAATTTATCCAGTAATTTATCCAGTAATTTATCCAGTAATTTATCCAGTAATTTATCCAGTAATTTATCCAGTAATTTATCCAGTAATTTATCCAGTAATTTATCCAGTAATTTATCCAGTAATTTATCCAGTAATTTATCCAGTAAAACATCTAACTGAATAAAAGGGGACAATCAGTAAGATTTATTACTATGTCTGTCATGAAAGGCAACTCTTCAACTGGTGAGGTAAGTTTTTTACACCAATTGCTAAAATTCTACAGTGTCTTTTATTAAGACCCAGTTTAATAAAAATATGGGTGTAAGAATAACGTTTAAGTAAAGTGGATCAAAACAAGTTGTCAAATTTAAATTTTCAGGGTTGTAGACTCCTATAGTCACTAAACTTGGGTATTTAAGAAATATGTTGTTTTGATGGCAGGAAATGGCTAGTTCAATGTAGGCCTATAGAACAACTTAAAAAATATATACAAAATCAACAAAAAAAAAAAAACACAACAAATTTTCTTATGCCTTCCACAGCAACAAAATTCAAGTTGAAATGTATTAATAGTTTTAAACCAAAGATAAACGTAACCTTTAGGAGTTACTACTAAGGAGAAGCAGAGATTAGCTAAAGAGTAACTTTAAAAAAGAGCTTGACAAATCTATTGATATGTGCAACTTGGATTAGACAAAATTGAAGAACGCCACAACATATATTGGTAAAAAAATGAGTAGCCTCGTTAACTGAGAACTTTCAAAGCAATTTTGATTATTGGGAGAACTGACTGTAAGTCTCAACGAAATCTCATCGTGCCATAAAAGCACCTATCTGACTATCAGCGAAGCAAATTATCTGACTATCTACAAGAAACAAATAATTTGACTATCTCAGAAAAGCAACTTATCTGAATATCTAGAAAAGCCAATTATCTTACTATCCAATGGTCTCAATTTAGATTACATTTGGACAAGGAAAAGAGGATGTCTCATATGCTTTAAATATTCGTTTTCAAAATTAAATTTTGTGAGATATTTTGATTTCTAATTTTTGGCACAATCTTTTTACTGGCCTCAGTCGAGAATATAATGCTGACCCCTGGCCTCAAATATATTTATCAGTCATTTAACTGAAAAACACAAAAGTTAAAATACCTGCAACTTTTATTTTTTACACTAAATAAAGAAAGGAAATGATGCAAGTTAAACTTACGATAATATGCTCATTATTTATGTGAGGAGTAACTTCTAATAATATGATCATTATTTATGTAAGGGGTAAATTACAATAATATGCTCTTTATTTATGTAAGGAGTAATGATGATTCTGGGAATCAGGTTATCCAACATTCCGGAATGCACTTTGTCAATCATTTCTTTTGAAATGATATGTGGCACAATTTCTCTCATCAAGTAAGTGTTGCCCTAAAGGAGAGGAGTGTGATGTTTTTATATAACTTACTGGCCTTCCTGGCATCACGTTTATAACTTTTATTATAATGACAGACTAAGTCAATAAAGAAACTCTTTACAGCTTCATTCAATATGAAATTGATTTATGAAACATCAACTCTCTGCAATATTCCAAAAATATAAAAATTATTTATGCATATATGCCTGTATCATGCTGATATTGACTTTGACAATGTAGAGTTCATATAAAACTCTGGCATCAAATTTAATCCTATTAATTTATGTTTAAAGCTTTAAGAATTTTATAAAGTCAAATGAATAGGGGAAATATTAATAAGAAGCAAACATTTTACTTAGATATAAAAGAAAAATAATTTTTTATTGCTTTTTGTTTATAACTCAGTTTACAACAATTGCAAATAAATTTAAATATTCTATTTCTATTATTTTGAATTTCATTGCTTTAAATTTGTTTATAGCTTTACATTAAACAATTAGAACTAAGAAATGGTTTCGGTTCTTTGAAATACTATGCAAATATAAACAATAATATATTTAAAGTATACAACAAAGCTTTAAATTACCATAAGTAAAAGACAATGACTATTTATTTACCATTTTATATTGGCTGAGAGTTTCATTTATTTTGGTCATGCACTTCGTGGGTGTTGTAGTAGCTAAAATGGACAAATTCGTTAAATGGGTGTCTTTTGTATTTCTATGTTCAAATATTTATAATATAAATTAGGTTGAAATTAAGAAAACAATGATAATAATATAATGATATTTTGAAAAAAAGTTTCCATCTTACCATCCAGATCTGGTAATCCCTGTTGAAAAAGGATTTTTTTCGCAATTTAATGTAGTTTAAAAAATGATTAAGAATAAAAAATAAAAAATAACTAAACAATAAGAATTCTAAAAAAATATCTAAAAATATCTTCTAATGGGAAAAAAATCTCTTTATAATTTGGAGGTGTTTGAAAAATTAAAGTAGATGAAAATTTAATATTACATTTCATATGGTTTGAAATTGAATATTTTGTTTTCTATTTTAATCCAATTAATTACACAGTGTAAAATAAATTGGATCTAAGACGTTACATGTGTAAGGCTCTTTGCTTTTTAAAGTGCATCTCACCCTTTTAAACTCTGTGGATGGTTTGCAATTTCCATTTGTTAAGTTTGGATACCATTGTGGGTAAATAGGTTCTGATTTCGCACCTAAAATAGACCAGATCATGTTTACTAAAAAATAAATAACACAGGCAGACAAAACTGGTTCTAAAAGATTTTTTAAAAAAGTACAAACTGACCTAAAATACAGCAGTAGGTAGAGAATGTAGAGAATGTGCTACAACATCACATAGGATGTCACAATTATTAAAAGGTGTCACCATCAAAATGGATGCCATCAATATGACTGTCTTCTGAATATATTATCCCAATTAAAATAAAAAATATTCCTACAATTATTTATAGCAATAATTTCAAGCTAGTTTTCATGTTAATAGGATTTTCCATGTAATTAAAAACATGAATTACAGAACTGGGTGACACCAAGAGAATGAATTGATAGGCACATGTCACATACATTATGACTCTATGAATTCATGGCCACATGTCACATACATTGGGACTCTATGAATTGATGGTCACATGTCACATACATTGGGACTCGTTACAATAATATAAATAAATTAACCTTTAGTCACACAAAAAATGGACTCACTCTTCATAAAATTGTCTATTTTGCTCCTGATTTCTTTTATACTTGGGCGGTGCCTGGGATAAAATTGTGTGCAACCTTCAATAGTTTTGAAATGATCTTGTTGGATACATTTTTCATTATTGAGTTTGAGCGCTGAATGGAAAATCTGTAAATTCATTTGTAATTTAGGATTGTGTTTAGCAAAAGGTTTGCAGGTGATTAAAAAAATTAATATAACTGGATAAATGTACATAAAATAGATGAATCTATTGCTATATTTGGCTGATTGTCCTCACTTCAATGTAGAACAAATGCTTGTTCAGCAAGTAGTTTGTTGTTGTTGTAATCACAGAGATAAATACAAGTCAATCTTAATAGGCACTGTTATCAAAAATTTTTACCAACCTGTATAACACACTCAACATCAGAAATATTCTTATGTGAGTAGGGCAGGACCCCATGGCATAAGACCTCATACATCAGATGACCAAACATGTAAACATCTGTTTTAGGGGTTGATACTGAAAGTTTGATAGTTTCTGGTGCACTCCATCTTGTAGGTTGTAGGCGTCTGTCTTCTGTAATTTGAGAAACATTAATTAATTATTTAGAATATATTTCTTTGTAAATGTTGGACAATGTTTATGGTGGGGTACAATGAAAGAAAGTTAAAAACCAATGTCTGGGGGTGGGGGTGGGTAGTGGGGGGTGGGGGCCAGGTGGGTTCACAGAGTCCACTATGCAGTGATCAGGGCAATCTGCAGCAACATCAAATTGCACAGTAACAGTTTATTGGTTACTTTTATGAACCTACTACAGTGACCAACAGTTTATTGATTACTTTTATGAACCTACTACATTGACAAACAGTTTATTGATTACTTTTATGAACCTGCTACATTGAAAAACAGTTTATTGATTACTTTTATGAACCTTCTACATTGACAAACAGTTTATTGATTACTTTTATGAACCTGCTACATTGACAAACAGTTTATTGATTACTTTTATGAAACTTCTACATTGACAAACAGTTTATTGATTACTTTTATAAAACGACTACATTGAAATCTTTTAAAATACAAATATAACACTAAGGCTTGTTGACTGGGTTAGGGTTAATATTTAAAAAAAACAAGGCTAAGTTCGAATTATAAATCACAACACAATAAAACAAAACATAACACAACGAATGATGTTTAGGCTAAGGACACAACCAGTACACAACTAAATATTGAGAATGGTTTTAAGATAACCAGAAGATTGTTCAACATGACTTCTGACAAGTTTGCTTGTCAAAATGACCAGTGGATCAGAAGGATGATAAGGATAAGTCAAATCGCTTGAATAATGTATGAAAGCTGACTGAATTTTAAAAAAAAATGTTTTGTTTCAGACTAATTCACATACCAATGATTGTCTCAGAGGAGTTACCCATGTCTACTGCCAACTGGAAACAGCCAAGCTTAATGTTTTCTTCTCCTGCCATCAGCAAACTTTCTGCTGTCAGATTGTTGTGCATGTTCAATATTTGAATCATGACAGTAATCAAGGGCACTGGTCACTTGTAGCAGAAACTTGAGCAGAGTTTTCTCTCTGCAGAAACTTTGATTGATGCTTCTATTTACCAAATATTCCTGGGAAGAAGAGAATGGTTAAGAGTTATGTATAGTATGTTCTGATATCCTCTACATTGTTCCTATGATATTCTTTACATTGTTCATATGATATTCTCTAAATTGTTCCTATGATATTCTCTACATAGTTCCTAGGATATTCTCTATATAGTTCATCGTTATTCATGACAGCTCAAATGTTTATTATATCTTTACATATTAGAGCTCCATAAGTCTAAAAGGTACTCAATATTTTTACTAGTTAGAAATTTCTTACTTTCAACGATTGTGGGTCAAAATTTGTGAGTCAATGATTGTGGGTCAATGATTGTGGGTCAATGATTATTGGTCAATGATTGTGGGTCTCCGAAATGAAATGTAAATCTAGCCATATAATTAATATGTGTCTCCTCAAGGAATTTAATTAATACACTTTACAATTTTGTAAAAAAAAAAAAAAAGAGGTATTTTTCTAATTTAATTACAATACAGTTCAAATGTATAAGAATTAATTTCCATTTAATTGGAATAATTAAAATTAAATTTTGTGAACTAACTGTAGCTTATAATTATAAATAATTATAATTATACTAGCCATTTTACCCTGCATTTCCTGGGTGGCATTAGGAAAATAAGTGAAAGCATAATTTTTTTTTTTATCCTATAAAAATACATTTATAATAAATTGTGTAAACATTTCTGGGTCAAGCTCATTTCATTGAATATTCAAGCTGGGCCCAGGAAAACAACAACAACATGATTGAAGTCTAATCAAACTTTTAAGCTGTCCCATTAAAAAAAAAGATTTACCAATGTCAATTAAAATAAATACAATCCCAACAGGGACCCTTGGTGGGATCCCATTCCCCATAGGGATCACAATCCCTGTTGTGATACTATTCCCTGGTAGGATCTCATTCCATGTGGGAAACCGTTCCCAGTGGGGTCCCATTCCCAGTTGGATCCTGTTCCCAGTGGGATCATGTTCCCAGTGGGATCCCATTCAATAAGGTACACCAAAAGTTATCACTAAGTTATCACTAATTTCGCCAAATATCTCTCCTAACGAGTAAAGGGTTTACTGTAATCTAAGCTTGCAACAATATTTATGTTTATTGCTTAGGCCATAATAAAGGAAACTTAATTTGCAACCTTCAAGAAACTTTCAAAAATATCTTTAAATCTTATTTCATAACATTTTAAAAAGCTCATTATAAGTTAGAGAAAAATAAGAATCTCATTGAAAGTTCTAGAAACATAAGAATCTCATTGACAGTTATATAAACACAATAAGGACATTTATATAATCCTAATATGGTTATAGAAAATAATCAAACCTATAATAACCTAAAAACTTCAAAAAACGTATAAATGATAAGTTCACATAAATGATAAGTTCACATAAATGATAATAATAATAATAATAAAGTTCATTTAAAAAACACGCTTCATCCCCAAAGGCTCGAAGCGCGGTACAAAGTCAACAAAAAACATATCTATAATTCACCACATTTAAAACAAACACAACACTACAAAAACTAATTACAAGCATACAATATCAAAGTCTTTCTAGCCATTTCAACCCGGAGCAACACAGCAACACATGGAAAATAAGGTAGACAATCATCCCAGAAGGTATTTGCGAAATAGATGTGTCTTTAGATCTGTTTTAAAGGACTCCAGTGTCTGGTTGTTTCTAAGATCGACAGGAAGGGCGTTCCAAATTGTTGGACCAGCAAATGCGAAAGTGCGCTTTCCGTAAGTCTCAAGGCAAACACGTGGTGTCGAGAGTTTGCCACTATCGGATGAGCGGAGCTCTCTACTGGGTACATAAGGCGTCAGCAGCTCTTTCAGATAGGACGGTGCCAGGTCATGTAAGCAGCGGTAGCACAAAGTTGCGATTTTGTACTCTATGCGAGCACGCACCGGCAGCCAATGCAACTCTCTCAGAAGTGTTTTTGCATGGTCGAATTTGCGTTTGCGGAGAACTATGCGAGCCGCATTATTCTGTGCTATTTGAATTTTATCCAGGAGCGTAGCTGGAAGACCCACCATGAGAGCATTGCAATAGTCCATGCGTGATAGCACAAATGCAGACATCAGCCTCTTTGTTGTATCAATTGTTAGGAAGGGCCTGATTTGACTAATCCTGCGCAGCTCCAGAAAAATCGCCCTGCATAGCATGTTAATATGACTTTCAAAAGTTAGTCTTCCATCTAGGTAGACACCCAGGTACCGCACTGTTTGAGCTAACTCAATACGCACACCTGAGAGAGTAATGGATGTCGTGTTATGTGCAGATTTCTGCTTCTGAGCGGTCGCAATGGGGAGCAGCTCAGTCTTATCATCATTTAATTTGAGCTTGTTAATGGTCATCCAGTGCTTTACCGACTCCATTGTCTTCTGTGTCATACTGAGCAGCTGAGGGAACTGAGAAGTGATCACGGATTGATGAAGTTGTGTATCGTCCGCGAACATGTGATACAACATACAAGTTCACATAAATGATAAGTTCAAATAAATGATAAGTTCACATAAATGATAAGTTCACAGATGCTGAGAAGATTCAAAGGAATTAAACTCAAATTTCCATAGACTGTTAGACCAGAACCATAAAGAAAAAAAATTATAGCTTTCTGTAAAATCTAGCTTTGATTTAATCGCCTCCTCAAAAAGTCTAACGGTGACACTTCTACAGAATGATTTTGCTAATACAACAAAATACAATAACTATAACAATTTTTCATTAAAGTTAAAAGAGGGCCTTGGTGAGAGCAAATTCCATTAGGAGCAATTTTAGTTATGACTACGATAGGAGTCCTATAAAAATTAATCAGGTAAATACTGTAGTTAAATTATCAAAGTTGTCCCATTAAAATTGGTTAAAAATCCAAGTGATATAGCCTTAAAATAAATTTCTGGAAAATTCTAGACTGGCCCTGAATTATTATGGAATCAACATATTACTTTTAAATCTATCGATAATTCTATATGTAGTATGAAGGTTATAGCTACCAAGCTTTGCCTATATTCACATAGAGCCCTATATTGTCTAAACATACTGGTATTTATATAGATCTTATGAGGAAAATGAAGTCGGGGCCCCCGGACTCAAAGGTGTAGATTTTATGAGTTCTATTCCTTTCAGTCTTTGAACATAATCAAGTGTATATATACTAAGTTTGGTCTAGGTCCATCCACACAGGGAATTAACCTATGCTTGATCTTTTATTTATATAACTTATAATAGGAAAAATGAATTTAGGGGCCCAACGTCCCTAAAAGGTTTGTTTAGTAAAATTCAAAAGCCCCAGCATTTCATTCTTAATAAGTGTGCTAAGTTTGGTCATGAACCATCAATCCATGTAGAAAATAAGCATAACATTTCTAAACAATTATCCTTAAAGAACCTGCACACAGTCCTTACTGAGAGTTCCCAATGTGGATGGACACAGAAAGAAGTCATACGTAGTGTGCTCTTTTGAAGCTGTGGGGCCTAAATTTTGGAACAGTTTGCCTCAGTGTTTGGGGGAAATTACAATTGATAAAAAATCAATTAATAAACATTTAAAGTTTTTTTCTTTAAATAGATTTTAGGACACCAGAGCGCTGTGAGTATGTTAAAATGGAATGGATACAAGAGCCATAAAAGTATTCAATCCATCAATATTTCTATAGCTTATTTAAGAAAAAAAGAAATGTTGAACCCCCAGCCCCTAATGGAATATTTTGTAAAGTTCACACACACACACACACAAACACACAAACACAAACACACACACTAACACATGCACGCACACACACACACACACACACATACACACACACACACATCCAGTATTCTATTCTGGATAATGATGGATTCCAAGTTTGGTAAAGATCCAGCAATTCACGTGGAAATGTATGCGGAACAAACCAACAAAAGTTCACCATTATAATATATATTAAATCTGATTTACAGACATGAACTGACCTGCAGGTTAGCACTGCCGTGAGCTGTTGTAGTCCTATAGTCTTCTACGACTTAAAATAGGGGTATTGTATTTTTGCTGTATGCACAAAGTTGTATTATGTTGAGGTGACAAAGTCTGGTCAATGTTTTTATGATCTTAAGATGTACAGCATCCTGCTGTTCCGTAAACTGAGATTTGTTGTGGTTAATGTGATCACTTTTATAAGGCTTGTGAATGTATAGAATAACATCCTGGCAGTTGAACTGCCCTGACAGACTAAGCCACTTGCTCTCATCTGTTGTTTCTGTGAGCTGTCAAGGAGTTTAAAAAAAACTTAAGTCGAATCTATAAACATTTAATAAAGATATAAATTTATATTGGGCCCTTCATATATAGAAGAAGAATATGTAGGACCCTTCATATATAGAAGAAGAATATGTAGGGCCCTTCATATATAGAAGAAGAATATGTAGGGCCTATAATTTACTATAAATATTGTTAAAGTATTTAAACTTTAAGTTTATTTTAAAAAAACCAAGTAATTAATAATTATTATGTAACTATGCGTGACTTAAATATCAGCATATAATGTGCTTGTTATTGATAATAAAACATGGTAAATAACTTATGTTGCTAGTTATATATATATATATATATATATATATATATATATATATATATATATATATATATATATATATATATATATATATATATATATATATATNTATATTATTTCAATAGAAAGAAGATTAAGGTTCAAGAAGAGAATGGCAGGAGAAAAATTAATAGATACTGGACTCTTTCTGCGAGAAGAAAACGGTAGGGAGATACCGGGGTGCATTTATTTTGCTTTCATTCTAAACTCCAGATCAGATCATCAGCGATCAAGAAAGTGGCTGATATGCTTGGGGCTGAAGAAGAGTTATTGGTGTCAATTCCAAATTAATCTCTTCCAATGATGAGTTACCAGAAGATGAACTTTTAAAAGTCATACCAAGGCTGAGAAGACACCTAAAAAGGCAGCTGATATTGAATTTCACAAAGTCATGGACTGGTCAGTATGTGATGTTTTGAAATTCATAGCTGAATTGGACTTCCTAGAATCTCTTCCAATACTCTTGCTGAGCCTTCAAATGTTTCTTACGATCTGTATGTCTGTAGCTTCATGTGAACAGAGCTTTTCTAAACCAAGGCTTATCAAGAAATATTTACGACCCACCAAAGGACAGTCAAGCTTTCTAATCTGGCTCTTCTATCAATTGGAAGTGATACGGTGAAGGATATTGATTTTAATCAAGTGATTGACAGGTTTTGGCTGAGAATCAGGAAAGGGAAATTTAATGTAAAATAACTTAACGTTGTTACATTTCTTAAATACATTTACCTACTAACGTTTAATTATTTTTTTTTTTTTTGCTCTTGTCATTGTTGTAATTTAGACTTATTTGAACAAGAATAAATCCATCGGGGAAGTCCGGTGGGAGGGGGTGGCACCATGAGTTTACCGCACCGGGTGGCACCATGAGTTTACCGCACCGGGTGACACCATGAGTTTACCGCACCGGGTGACACCATGAGTTTACCGCACCATGTGACACCATCATTTTACCACACTGGGTGACACCATCATATTACCGCACCGGGTGACACCATGAGTTCACCGCACCGCGTGACACCATGAGTTTACCGCACCGGGTGACACCATGGGTTTACTGCACCGGGTGACACCATGAGTTTACCGCACCGGGTGACACCATGAGTTTACCGCACCGGGTGACACCATCATTTTACCACACTGGGTGACACCATCATTTTACCGCACCGGGTGACACCATCATTTTACTGCACAGGGTGACACCATGAGTTCACCGCACCGCGTGACACCATGAGTTTACTGCACCGGGTGACACTATGAGTTTACCGCACCGGGTGACACCAACTCTAACTACACCAATGTATAGTATTATTACGTCTACGGCCTATGATTAATATCAATTATCCCCTATATACATTAATATCCGTTCCAAATGTTAATACCATAAATGAAAGCAAGTAAAATATCAAATATGTTTAACTAAGTTAGACTCTATGCAGTAAGAATTAAAAGAATTAAGATTTTTATTTGTTAAGATTAGTTCATTATATAGTAATTAATTTAACTTAATTTTGACCTACCATTCTCTTTTTAACTGGATCGATTTCCACTTTCAAGAATGGAAAAAGCAGAAATTCGACCTCTTCTATGAGCATGACGTCATTTTGATTGTTGTATTGTTGTTGCAATAGGTCAATTACATTTTGACGTATGACTGGGGTTGATTCAAACATTAGTGGTCTAAGTAACTGGCAAATCTGGAAGTTTGAATTTTGTTTATGTTTAAAGCTCAAAATTTTTTTTAGCCCACCACAACCCTTGAGGCATAAACTAACCCTAGCGCCCCAGCCGCCAGAACATGTTGTAAAGATCATTCAGGAAAGTAGATTACACGACCACTAAACAAAAATAAAATGTAAAATAGTAGCGTACAGAAGCGCATATTAGCGTATATTAGCGCATATTAGCGTATAGGAGCGTATAGAAGCATATAGTAGCGTATGTAGCACTGTAGAACTGTCTGTCGGATGTTTGTTTAAAGGCCGGCTGGTAGGGTGTAGGACTGTCTGTAGAAATGTTTGTAGAACTGTGTGTCCGAATTTTGTTTAAATGTTGGCAGGTTAGGGGGTAAGACTGTCTGTACGCCTATTGTTTAAAGACCGGCATATATCATAGAACATGAGAAGTTAACTTGTCTTTTTTTGGGGTAACATTTGGGCCCACGGGTGTTTTCTCAAAAATACCACACAGTGTAAAAAAACTAACCAACTGCGCCCGGTTAAACCCTCGTCATCATAATAATTATGGATTGATATTTTACTTGGATGAGGAAACAAAATGTTTCAATGTTCTAATATGCGCAGTGCTCTGCATTGAATATCTGATTCAATGTAATTTGATGATAACTTTTTTACAGTATCTGATTCAATGTAATTTGATGATAACTGGTTTACAGTATCTGATTCAATGTAATTTGATGATAACTGGTTTACAGTATCTGATTCAATATAATTTGATGATAACTGGTTTACAGTATCTGATTCAATATAATTTGATGATAACTGGTTTAGAGTATCTGATTCAATGTAATTTGATGATAACTGGTTTACAGTATCTGATTCAATATAATTTGATGATAACTGGTTTACAGTATCTGATTCAATATAATTTGATGATAACTGGTTTAGAGTATCTGATTCAATGTAATTTGATGATAACTGGTTTACAGTATCTGATTCAAAATAATTTAACATTTCAGGAATCTCGTCAGTCTATTTCGTTTTTTTTTCTAAATCTATTTTTCTTTAAAAAAATAAAAATAAAACTAAACCACTGAACCCTAGCCCACTAAAAAGACGTAAGAATATTAGGCAGTCAGAATGGTCTAGAATGGCAGACAGCACCACCCATCTTTTTTAAATTAAATACATTGACTACCTCGTTTGGTAGGGCTTGCAGAGTGCCAGAAACTATCTTCAAATTCTCAACAACTTTGATGCAGTGTTCTTGTATGTTTCTGTGAGCAGCTTCTCCTGAAAAAGTAAACGTATAGAAAAAAAATGATTTTTTGAAAAATTGATGCTGAATAAATTTTAATGTAAACAATTGAAGAAAAAGGGGAAGAGACTGGAGATATATATCTATAAACTCACAATAATAGTTGCGAACAATCCCAAACTTAAAAAAAAGACCCAAATTATTTGACCAAATTGAAGCAACCTAAAAACATGTGTTCGATACTGTCAAAATCTAGAAAAAAAGAACATTCTAAAAATAAATCACCGAAAAGGGCTTAAAAAAAGAAGCATTTTCTATTATCCAAAAAACTTAAATTGATATCAGAGAAGCTGATACCTCCACAATACAGAGAAGCTGATATTAACAAATACAGAGAAGCTGATATCATAACAATACAGAGAAGCTGATACAACCACAATAAAAAGAAGCTGATATTACCACATTACAGAGAAGCTGATATCACCATAATACACAGAAGCTGATATCATAACAATACATTCATTGTCACTTAAATATGTGTTAAACAGCTTGCGAACATGCAGTATTATATTTTTACAGATGTGCACATACAATATTTTCTATACTATAAAGCAGGCCTGCACAACATGCGGCCCGCGGGCCGCATGTGGCCGCCAGCACCCACTTTGTGGCCCGCGAGGTAACGAAAAACTCTTTATTCTTATTGTTTTCTTAATAGCTTCCCCCTGACCTATATGCTTGTTGCCCGCACAAGTTTTTCATAATGTATTATGGCCCGCCTTACATTTTGAGTTGTGCAGGCCTGCTATAAAGGAAGACAAGCTAGACTTTCAGAAAGTCTTAGGAGTGTTTCTTATGTCAGCAACAGGCAGAACCCGAACTTAAGCAGCTGCCGAGCCAAACCAAACCCAAACTTGGGTTGTTACAGAACCAACGAGTTGTACAGTTCTGGAATCATCTGGAAAGTCAACGAAAAGAAAGTTTCCTAATTTTACCATCATACGAACTGCCATTTTAGTCAAAACACAATTTGATGACGTTTGCCTAGAAATTGTTGGACCAGATAGTTTATTAAGTACTTGTTAAAATAATTGCTATTCTCTGTAATATACCTAAGATTGCTTCAGCAAATGCAATCATGTCTCATTCCAATAATTTAGATATTTTAAAATTATTACATTTATAATTCTACATTGCAATTTTTAAAATCAATTTTTAAAAATAGTGTATAAAGATTATAAAATCCCAATCAAAACTTAAATTACCTTATGAAGGAGAAAACTGAGATTGATGGCTTGTGATTGTGGATCTTTTAGAATGTCGTTTATGAGAGCTCTCAGTTCTGGAAAGTTTCTGACACCATCCACTGTTAGAAAGTTTTTGGCTTATTATTTTTAAAATAATACAAAAGACAACGAATTTACATAGAATGTAACAACATTATAGAATACAATCACATTACAGAATATAAGAACATTATAGAATACAACCACATTACAGAATATAAGAACATTATAGAATATAACAACTTTTTTACAATATAAGAACATTATATAATATAACAACAGTGTAGAATATAAAATCATCATAGAAGACAA